GGGGAAAGGAAGAAATTGGGGCGCTAACCAGCCCCCCGTTGTGTGGTGGGGGGGATTTTTTTAGTGTGGCTCGACGTGCAGTGACATTCCTGAGCTGAATGAGTGCAAAGAAAAGGGATTCTTGTCCCCAAATTCCTCATCTGGTGCTGTGACAGCTGTCGGGTTTAACGGGGGAGGCTGGCCCAGCTGTGCAACTGTTATAATCCAGTTTGGATTTTTGAATAGATAATTAGTTTTCATTGATAATTAATTGCTTTTAATGAAGGGCTTAATTGCTTTAAGGAATAACTAACGCATTTATATTAATGCAGTCAGTTTACATTATAATAAGAAACACCCAAAACCTCCCTGATGCTCAGAAACAGCAGCTGCTGCCTCGCAGAGAAGGGCAAAGCAAGGTCAAAGCTCAAGCTGCTGCTCATGGTGGAACTGCCCAGAACAGAACAGGGAGGCAGGAGACAGGGACAGGGAGGGAAAGCGCCCGTTCTTGGCGTGAATTATCTGATGGGATGAAACCAGAGGAACTAAGGAGTGTTGAGGTGAAGACCCTCACCTCCTCCCCGTCCTGGTTTGTAGATCTGAGATCTGGATCAGTAAGATGACCCGTGATTATATGAGTACAGGAATACTCATGGAGTTAGTTAATAGGGTGGAGCAATCAGTGTAAATGTCAAAATTAATAGCGGGCATAACATGCAGCTGACATTGAAATAGGTTAAAGACCACGACTTTGCAGAGAAAGGGTATAAAATGCTGAACTTTTTGATGTAACTTTGAAGCACGTCAGAGGGAGCCACCCCCCGTGCTCCCAGCGCCGCCATAAAGAAGCGCCGGCGTCTCTGCCGCGGGGGAGAGGAGTTTGCCGTGGTGGCGACCCCCCATCAACAGAACCGCTCCCACACGCTTCCCGGGAAGCCATCGCCTCTGTCTGGAGGAGGCTGGGGCAGTAGATCCTCAGTTTGGCTACATTCCAGTGTCAAAAATTGAAAATGAGGACGCGCATAAATTCCACCCTGTTTAAAAAAAAACCCCTCCCTGGAACTGTAATCAAGCCAGTTCAGGCTTGATGGGACAAGGGGTGTTTTGTGTTTCTTTCCCCTGGGCGGTTTGTTTGAGAAATGTGGCGATAACCTATGCTAAAACCAGGGATTATTTTGGCCTCTCTTATTGCTTCTGCCGTTCCTCCTGTCTTTCTGATGCTTGGATGTTCACCCCCACACCCTAGTGACACCCTGGTGGTTTTTATTGAACCCTCCTTGCACTGAAATCCTCGGGAGCGAAACTCCCTTCGTCCGT